CGGGCGGGGAGAGCTCGGAGGACCAGCTCCGCCCCTGCAGGACCCCGCAGCCACCCCGGGGACGGGAGGGGGCCCCTCGGGGCGGGGACAGCTCGGAGGACCAGGTCCGCCCCTGCAGGACCCCGCAGCCACCCCGGGGACGGGAGGGGACCCCCGGGGCGGGGAGAGCTCGGAGGACCAGCTCCACCGCTGCAGGACCTCGCAGCCACCCCGGGACGGGCAGGGAGAGCTCAGAGGACCAGCTCCGCCCCTGCAGGACCCCGCAGCCACTCCGGGGACGGGAGGGGACCCCTCGGGGCGGGGAGAGCTCAGAGAACCAGCTCCACCCCTGCAGGACCCCGCAGTCATCCCGGGACGGGAGGGGACCCCCGGGGCAGGGAGAGCTGGGAGAACCAGCTCCGCCCCTGCAGGACCCCGCAGCCACCTTGGGGACGGGAGGGGACCCCCCCCCGGGGCAGGGAGAGCTCGAAGGACCAGCTCCACCGCTGCAGGACCCCGCAGCCACCCCGGGACGGGCGGGGAGAGCTCAGAGGACCAGCTCCGCCCCTGCAGGACCCCGCAGTCATCCCGGGACGGGAGGGGACCCCCCCGGGGCGGGGAGAGCTCGGAGGACCAGCTCCGCCCCTGCAGGACCCGCAGCCACCCCGGGGACGGAAGGAGGGCCCTCGGGGCGGGGAGAGCTCGGAGGACCGCCTGCTCTCCGGGTGGGGACTGAAGCCCACCCAAAAGCTGCACCAGCAGGACGGCTTCGCTGCTCTCGTCTCTGCTTCCCTCCGTGAGCTCAGAGAAGGCACCGCACGCGCGCAGGGGCCTCGCATCTCCCGGAGCTTCCGGCGGTGCGCGCGGCCCCCCTGGGGGAGCGCTGTCGGGTCGCTTCCCCTCTCTGCCCCTCCGCACCCCGCAGGCCCCACACGGGCATCCGGCGCGTAGTCCTCCGGCCGCGCGGGCTCGCGTGCCGGTAGAAGCCCCTGCTACATCTCGAGGACCAGCCAGGGACAGCGGCTTGTAAGTCGCCCAAGCAAGAAGCGCGAGCACCGCAGACACGCACACGCACCCAGGGCGGCCCTGTCCGCGTGAGGGCGCACGGCCCCGCTCCCGCGACGAGCCACCCCGCCGGCCAGGCCCCGGACGGCGCTCCGGGAACACCGGGGCTGCGAGGGGCACGACCCCGGTTCAACGACCGCGCCACGCGAGCCCCAGGCCGG